AGGAGGGGGAGGAGGGAGGAGGAGGAGGAGGAGGAGGAGGAGGAGGGAGGAGGAGGAGGAGGAGGAGCACGAGGAGAAGGAGGAGGAGGAGGAGGAGGAGGAGCAAGGATAGAGAGACGACGCTGAAATAAGGACCATCTGGGGCTCTAGAGGGGCTTTGGTTGCCGGGCCGCTCCTTGGATTTAGGGTTTGGAGCGCATGCGTGGCCGAGGCTCGCCGTGGCCTGAGCAAAGCCCTTCGATCCTTTACATTGCGTTTCTTATGGCAGCACGATGGCTGTATGATGAGGACGATGAGCAGGACGTGGAGGATGCGGAGGAGGAGGAGGAGGAGGAGGAGGAGGAGGAGGAGGAGGAGGAGGAGGAGGAGGAGGAGGAGGAGGAGAGGAGGAGGAGGAGGAGGGAAGAGGAGGAGGGGAGGAGGAAGAGGAGGGGAGGAGGAGGAGGAGGAGGAGGAGGAGGAGGAGGCGGGGAGGAGGAGAGGAGGGGAGGAGGAGGAGGAGGAGGAGGAGGAGGAGGGGAGGAGGAGAGGGGAGGAGGAGGAAGAGAGGAGGAGGAGGAGGAGGAGGGGAGGAGGGGAGGAGAGGGGGAGGAGGAGGAGGAGGAGGAGGAGGAGGAGGAGGAGGAGGAGGAGGAGGAGGAGGAAGGCCGTTTGCGGGAACTCCATCCCCCGCACTCGCCCCGGCCGCCCCGCCCGGCCGCGCGCGCGCACCCTGGGAGGGGGCGGCCTCGGCGCGCCAACCGCGCCATCGAGGGCGGGCGACGGCGCGTGCACCACCCAGGAGGGGAAAAAGCACACAGACAGAATTACTCGTCGATTCCCCAGAAGATATGGGAGAATATGGGGAGTGGGGGGGGGAGGACAGAAACCCAGAAAATAAGAGAATATGGGGAATCCTGTTTTTCGTGTGTGTGTGTGTGTTAATGTGTGTGTCCCAGGGCACCTTCAACCACGAGAAGGTAATCACCCGCGCCCAGAACATCATTAAGATCAGCGCGAGACACCTCGAGACCAACAGAAGCCAAGTCTACGAGGACTGCCCACGTCCGTGGAGAGCGACCGACAAGCATGCTGAGACCATGCACACTTGGAAGATTACGGGCGCGACCAGATGCGGCTCAAACACGAGTGGGGCACAACGTCCGACATGGGATACAAGGTCCGCCACGGCCGCCCTCGCGAGGGCGTCCAGGTGCGAGCTGCGTAACAGGCAGCCCAAGAGCGAGAACGAGTTGCGCAACAAGCGACCCAAGTAGGAGCATAAGCTGCGCGACAAGCAGCCCGAGGACGATAACCACAACTAGAACGACGCCAAGTACGTCACCAAGATGGACAGAAGGCGCGACACGACCGAACAGCCCGAAGGGGTTACAAAGTACGTCGTCGTAGAGGCTCCGGTTGGCAGCGGCAGCGTCACTTATGACGAGTACGACTGCGACGCCTATAACGGGCACGGCGAACACAACCAGAGCTACGAGGGCTACAAGAACGCTACGAGATCCTCAAGCAGAGCTACCAGAGCAGCCTGCTACGCGACGTGGGCCACCAGTAGAGAGCTACCAGGACAAGAAGCAAAGCCCCGAGAACCTTCCTCTGCGCTACGAGGACCACCAGCAGTGCGTCGAGAACCACCAGTCGCAGCAGAGACACCACCTCGGTTTTCCCAGTTCCGCTTTGTCCATGCAGCAAAAGGTCCATCTGCTCCAGTGGCTCCGGGCTGTCTCCGCGGGCCACCGCGTCCTTGTAAGCAACGATAGCCTCCACCTGGCCAACCATCAGGGCAAGTGCTGCCTTCTGCCCTTTATTGGATGGGACGGGATTGCCCTGTCGGCTCTCCCACTCGACAAACAACCGTTGCACAACATCGCGCGCCCGCGGCGGCTGCTGCTCCGCGCAAGCGACCGCAGGCGCGGGCGGCCGACCCGCGACGAGTACGGCAGGCGCCAGACTCGCGAGACCGCTGAGTCCGTCGCCGCCCACAGGTCAACCTTCACGTAACCTCTCATATCGAAATGTATCTTTCTGCTTGGCTTTGCCCTTCTGCGCTACGGGGGCCACCAGCGGAGCCTCGGTTACAACCAGCCGAGCGTGGAGGACCACCAGCTCTGGCACCAATGCCACCCCACCCACCGAGCGATACGAATTCCTGCATGACGCTGGCACCCAGAATTTCTGGAAGCGGAACACCACGACTTGGCAGCCGAGGGCTCCGACTCCGACATCGTGGATTTCGGCGTGCAGAAGGACGTACAGGCGGACGTACTCAATGACTACTGCCTGGCCCCGGCGTGCTAGCACGAGGGGGGCGTCCAAGTTCCGAAGGGAGGACCAGCGGAACTCCGACGACCACCTAGGACAACCAGCATGACTACAAGGGCGACACGGGCTTCGAGAGCCAGAAGCAGGGCTGAGAGGACCACCAGCTGAGCCACAGGAGGACAAGGAGGTGAAGGAGAAAGAGGGCCCGAGCTTGGAATTCCAGGGGGTCGGGCGCGGATGAGGAATGGTCACTAGTAGATTTTCGACTACCACGAGTTGAATTACAAGACGTCCAGAGCCACGAGGACCGCACGCCGAACCGCGTGGTCCACAAGCATGGCTGCGAGGACCGCCAAGTGAGCCACGAAGGCTGCAAGCTCACTAACGACGGCCACACTTGGCGCAACGAGGACCACCAGCTGTACCACGAGGGCCACCAGCTGAGCTACGATAACTACACACAGAGTTACGAGATCCACTAGCACAGCTACTGGAGACCAGATCACCAGCAGAGCCACCCGGACGACGAGCTTTACAACAAGGGCGATAACCATCAGCTAAGCTACGAGAGCTACCGGAGGCACCTGGCCAGAACACGCTGGAGCCCGATCGTGCTGAAGTGTCTTGCGCTCTTGCAGTGGCCTAATTGCCCTTTGCCGTGCTTCCGCGCGAGCTACATGAGCCGCAAGCTCAGCTGCGAGAGCCACTTGCGGAGCTACCAGGGCTACCTCCTCCTCCTCCTCAGCTACGAGAGCCACCATCGAAGCTACCAGGGCCACAGGCTGACTCCGCGAACCGCCACCCGAGCTACGAGGGATACCAGCTCGACAACGATGGCCACATGCTGGGCCACACGCAAGGATACGAGGACCACCGGCTGAGCTTCGAGGGCCACCAGCTGAGCAGCGAGGGCTGCGAGCAGAGCTACGCGGAACACAAGTCTAGCTACGAGGACCACAAGCGGAGCGACTGGAGGCACCAGCTGTGCCTCGTTGGTAACAAGCAGACCTACGACAGCCACCAACAGAGCTTCCAGGGCCACCGGCGGACCTTACATGACCACAAACTGTGCCACGAGGACCACATATGCAGCTGCTGAGCCACCAGCAGAGTAACCAGGGTCACCAGCGGGCCCCCGAGGACCACGAGCAAAGCTACGAGGGCCACAAGCAGAACAACGAGACCCACCAGAAGAGCTACGAGAACCGCGAGCTGAGTTACGAGGGCCACAGGCATTGCTACGTGGACCACCAGCTGAGCCACGTGGTCCAGGGCACCCGCGCACGTTTCGTGCGGCTGAAAGCTAGGCCGGCCTTCAACGGCCAAGAGGGGGTCCTGCGCCCTTTTGGCGCACAGGCCGAGCGATAGGAATATCGAAATGGAACAAGCCGAATTCACGTCCCGACAGGCAATCTAGAGATCTACGGCAAATGCTCCCTAAGCAACGGCTCTGCAAGATGTTCCAAGATCGGGCCCAAGTTTCCGGGTACTACAACATGTTGCACAACGGCTGCGGGAGCCAGCCTGGGGCTCCTCAGTTGTTCTTCGACGTGTCCTTGGACGAAAAAATGTTCGATGTTGTCGACGACCAGATTGGGTAATCTTACGGTGAGATTGGCCTACCAGAATCCGTTGACTATAGTGTTTGTGTTGGTCGCACTTGATCTACAGCGCCCGGACAAGGGCATTACGTTTGCATCGCTACATACAATATACCAAGTCTACAGCACCCGCGCGCTCTTGGGAAGATAAGCGGGTACTTCTATTAATGTACTGACACGGTACGCCATGTACAGCGCAAGAGGCAATGTACTACGTCACCGGCAACGGCCACGACATCTTTTGAGTGGCCCTGCCGCTATACCACTCCCTCGTCCCCTCCCTCGGTCGGTTTCAGGATGGGTTGAGTGGAGTGCGGGCGGCCCTCCTCTCCGCAAGCGCGAGCAGAAGGAGGAGGAGGAGGAGGAGGAGGAGGAGGAGGAGGAGGAGGAGGGGGAGGAGGAGGAGGGGGAGGAGGAGGAGGAAGACAGAGAAGCGGAGGGGACATATGATGAGGACGAGAAGCAGGAAGAGGACGATGGGGGAGGATAGCCAGGAGAAGGGGTGCGAGGACGAGGAGTCGCGCGGCTGAGCGCCCACGGGCTGCAGGCTTGTCTGAGGGCTCGGCACGCGGCGCGCCGGGGTGCCGGGTCGTCTTTTGGGGATCTTCCTGGGGACCTCTCGGCGGTTTCCTGGGGGGCCTCTCGGGAATCTGTGCTGCGCATGGCAGGCGGGGCTGTTGCGCTGTGTTCGTGCGAATCGGACGAATGTTAGGGCCAGGGGGGGATGCCGGAATTGGCTTGGGGCGTCTGGAGGTCGTCTTGGGCCCAGACGGGGCTTCATTGGGGCCTCTGTGGGCCATCTTTGGGTTGCCTTTGGCCCTCCAAGGGCCATCTCAAGGTCATCCAAGGTTACCAGAGGCCGACAACCTTGCGGACCCCTGGACTGGGAAAACACTTGTGTCTTCCTCGTGATCCTCGTGGATCTGGAGCCTCTCCTGGGCCCTTTTGGGGCGTAAGGTAAAATTGCCTCTCGGATCCCCAAGTGAGCCCCCGCACCAAAGCCGTTCACATGAGCAACTTGGGAGTTTCTTTAAGGGGGGAGGGGACAACCTCACAAGCCCAGTGATCCCACATGGGGCGGCGGAAATCGTCGACAGTTTCGGGAATCCCAGAGAGCCGGAAGACGAAGACAGGGTAGAGATGCGCATCATCTCGACGGATAACTACGAGAGCGACGGCACAGGGACCTTGCTGGTAAGCGGCTTCCCTGACAGCAAAGATCCGGGGCCAAAGGAGGTCAAGGTTGACAGGGTGGCTTTGTCAGATGAGAGCAGCAACTTGCGAACTCGGTTCCATCCACCACTCGATGGAGAATGCGTTTCGGATATTAACGCCTCGAGGTTGAAAGGCTTGGCTGGGAAAGTCCTCAAACAAACAAAGATCGTCCTGTCGGAAGAGAAGGAAGCCGAAGTTGACAAGGTGATTGTCGAAGACCCAGCAGAAGCGCTAAAGCAGCTTGAATCTAAATTTGATGACATGGCTATGCTGTTAAAGTGTCCTCACGGAAATCCTAAGACTATCTTGGACCGTTTCCGTAAAGAGCTTACAGAGCTGCTAACGAAGCCAGGCTTTAAGACGACGTGCTACCATGTTCTTGACATGGCTTATGAAGAGCAGATGAATGAGAGCAAGCCGATACTGAAGGAACGGAAGAAGCTCCTAAACGAGTGGTGCAAAGTGATGTTGCTTGCTCAGCAGGAGAACACTGCTTGGCTGTTCGAGGAGGAAAAGGAGGAAGAAGAAGAAGAAGAGAAGGAGGGAAATAAGGAAGGGTCCGAAAATACACCAGAAACTGACAAGCCACCAGGGGAGGAAAAGGATGATGCATCACCAGAAGCAGGTGTTGAACTACCAGATGTGAAAGAACGTAACGTTGCCCTCAAGCTTCTCAAGGACAACCCTGATTCATCGCACATCCGTCTCTGCGCTAACGTAGGTGTGTTCTGCGAGGAGTTGTCGTCACTGCAGGTCTCCTCGGAGGTGAAGCAAGAGACCCGGACTTTATTCCACGAGCTAACCGAGTTGAAGAACGAGCACGAGATGTTGATCCCAGAGCACATGAAGAAGGTCATCGCAGATCTGATGCAGGATGCGCAGCCCAAGAGCACCAGCAAGGCCACACCTGATGGGGACGAGGGCCTCGACTCCGAGATGTGCCAAGAGCAGGAGCAGGAGCAGGAGCAGCAGATCGAACAGGGCCCCGACACAGAGCCGGACAACCGCAAGTTCGCCGACATGGGCGACACTTTGCAATGGAAGGCTTCGAGCCTCCTTAACGGGCAAGACAGGAAGAAGCTCTTCAGCGACCGGACGAGTTGCCCACCAACCACTGGGGCGAAGCCCGTGGCAACGTTCCACAACATGAAGGATTTCACGCCCCAGGGCGGCAAGATATCCGGTAAGAGCATCTGCCCCCTGAAGATCGACACGAACCTGTACATCAGCCCCAACTACGCCGAGAAGGAACTGAAGCAGGACGCTGCTGCAGGCGAGCTGAAGCGCCGCCTGCCGAATGCGAGCGTGCTCCTGTACGTGAAGAACGGGAGGGAGGCAGGCCAGCCACAACTGGGTGAGCTGTGGTCCTTACCCCCCTGGGGGACCCATCGATTTCGACACCCCTCTCGAGAGATCGTCGATGCGATGGGTTCCCCCAGGGGGGTAAGGACCACAGCACCCCCAGTTATGGCTGGTCGGGGAGGGCTGCTGGGCGATCCTGAGCCTGCTCGAGGCGGAGACGCTGCGCGCGTGGATGCTCGGCGCCGGCGCGCAGGGCGACGCCGCGGCGGCCTCCATGGGCCTGGTCACCAGCAGCGGCACGTGGCTCACGCAGCCCGTGGGCGAGAAGGATCGGGCGAAGAGAACGATGCACCGGCACCGATCCTGGCACGGCCCATCCTCGACCCAGCATCGGTGCACATGCCCTCCTGGCCAAGGCAGGAGGGCGTGTGCACGGATCCTGGGCTCAGGATGGGCCTGGCCAGGATCGGCGCGTGTGCGCACAGTTCTCTTGCCTCTACAGGAACTGATCGTTAGCCCCGAGGTGAGGGACCCCCTGAGCGAGGGCAGGGCGCCTCTGAGCGCAGCCGCGCCCCTGGTCTTCACCAGGGCCTTCAACTGGGAGGTCTACTACGACGAGCAGGAGCCGCGGGTCGGCCGCGACGCCGTCTGGCGTGTCGCTCGCCGGGCCTGTCCACGCTGCTTCGTGGGCTCGGCACGCGTGGGCCCACGCCTGGGCTCCGGACGTGCGCGTTCAGTCTCTGGGGTGGGCTCCGTGTCGACACGCTACGGGCTGCGCGTTGCGCATCGGGACAGCGGAGCTGTCTTGAGAATCTCGTGGGTCGGGTTCGTGCTCTTCTCGCCGTCGTGCTGCTTTCGTTCCGGGACCCACCGTTGGCCAATCACGACGTCGGCTTGCGCTCCAGGACCGCGTTTGGAGCCATCCCCCAGGCCGTCTTCGTGTCAAGGCGCCTCAAAGTGAAGCGCCGCGAACACGCAGAATGCCGTGTTGGCCCTATGGTGTTCCAACCCACTTTTTGCCTTGACCGCCTAAAAGAATTCCGAGCACCTAGAAAGTACCGACATTGGGGGTGGTTTTCGCGCGTCGGGCCCCAGGGGGCGGCACTCGTTCGACACGGCTTCGAGACTTGTCTGGGTGCTCGAGATTCTGTCTGGGGCCTGGTCCTCCAGTGCGACGGGAACAACCGTCGGGGATGGACAGAACCCCCAACAGTGACACGTCGATTAGTGAATTGTCCGTTTTCGGTTCTCGAGAGGGCGCCGTGGCCGTTATTTTCCAGGCTTGCGCCCGCCAGGTTTGGGCATCAGGTCGTTTTCACTAAACCACGTTTTACTAAAGGAAGGTCTGTCCATCCCCGAAACCGAATTTTGGCCGGCCCCTGGCAGGAGCTCGTGACCCTGATCACGGTGATGAGGCCCACCCCGGACGAGGGCGACCGGGCGCGGTGGTTCCAGGCGGTCCGCGACGGCCGCAGGCGGGACCGCAAGGAGGCGAAGCAGACGGTGCTGGAGCAGGCCATCAAGACC